ATTCAAATTCCACCATCTGCCATGGCAGGATTTAATCCCAGGTCCCCAGAACACTGTCTGGGTCTTTGGATTAACAGTCCAGCGATAATACCACTAGGCCATCACCTCCCCTGTATGTATGATTACCTTGTGGGCAGAAACAGAGGAGAGAGAGGGTTAGCAAGGGAATTCCAGAATTTAGGGCCTGACCAGTCAAACAGACAGGCAGTTAATCATCCACTAGTAATTGATAGCTCAGTGCAAGTTGAGAAGACTTGAGGGAGATAACAGGTCCATCAGAAAGTGAAAAGAGAAAAGTTCTGATGTGGAGCCTGCAGTCCTTTTATTTTTATTTTCCTTTGCAGAACTTCATTCACCTGTCATGTATTTCCAGCAGCTGTGATTATTTTTCTCTTCGTATCAAATGGAGCATATTTTGAGACAGTGCAATGGAATGTATCACCGGACTCAAAATATTAACTTCATTTCTTTCTCCACAGCTAGACCTGCTGAGTTTCTCCAGTATTCTCAGTTTTTCTTTGTTTCCATTCTCCAGCATCTGTAGTTCCTTGATTTATGTTATTATATAAACGTGTTACACTCTCGGAAACTTATCTGTCGCTAAGCAAACATCCTGCGGATGACGGATGTCTGAAAGAAAACCTGAAAATGCGAAAAAACAGTCGGGGTGTCAGGCTGCACACGATAGAGAATAAGAGATAACATTTGTGGTTGATGGTCTTTTGTCAGGCTCTTCTGAGGAAATGTCGTTGACTTGAAATAAAGTCATCGAGTCACGCGGCACAGAGCAGGCTCTTCGGCTCGCCATGTCTCTGCTGACCAACAAACACCAAACTACACGAATTCCATTTATCTGCACTTGGTTTATAGTCTACTGTGTCCTGACATTTTAAGTGGCTGTCCACATGCTTCTTAGATGTTGCAAGAGTACCTGCCTCCACCACTGTCTCAGACATCACATTCCATGTTTCTACCATCCTCTGATTTCCTTCAGAAATACTCCTCAACTTAAACTTATGCCCTCTGCTCTTACACATGTCTGCCACGAGGAAAAGGTTCACATGATCTACTCTGTCTATGCCTCTCATAATTTTTTGTCTGCATTTTGTTTAATATGTATTTCCCATTTATTTATAAAATATGCATTAAAGAAAGAAATACTTTATTCTATTTCGAAAATACATATAAGTGCGTGCAATAATATTTCATCTCGTTCATGGTATATATATAAAAGCAAATAACTTAAGTCAGGGGCTGTGATGGATATAATCTACAGTATTTCAGGAGGGTGATAGTTCATGTTATGATTGCTTTTGGTGGATTAGAAATTCAAAAGTCTGTACATGACTAAATGAATCAAATACAGGATATGCTATGTGAAGGTTAATATACCGGTGGAGTATGAACAGAAGAGAACTTTCAAGGTTATGACAACAATCTGTTTTTGATATGCAACAGGGAGTATTCCCCAGGCAAGGATGACTGCAGAGAGCAGGAATTATTCCTGGAAACAATCAGTGATGGATAAAACACCAGGGAGGTGTATAACACGGATATTTCATGCAAATTGGGAAAAGAAAAGGCTTGGTTAGATTCATTCCATCACTGGGAAGCTTTTCTTTTCTTTCGGTGAGATCAAGCAGGTTCAGTCATGGAAGAGATCAATGGATTCTTTTCACAGAAAATAGTAAATTTGACAGAAATAGAAGATCAAAAAATGATCACCTGTTGGTGAATGATACGAGAGAGACAGAGAGAGAGAGCAGAACATCAATGTTCTACTTTGTTAAGGGGACAAGGAAGCTTGGAACATGAAACACTTTTCAGTCCATCAACCTAGTTGTGATGTGTGGTCCATGCCAATACCAGCTCTGCCGCACCCAATTTGATTTTGAGAGACAGCAGCTGAATTCTTCTTGGAAATTTTTGCCAAGTTTTATCCCTTATTTCACATCACAGAACATTTGAACATTATCACATTACTATTTGTGGGAGCTTGTTTTTTTTTATTCATTCACAGGATGAGGGCATCACTGACTAAGCCCGCATTTATTGTCCATCCCTAATTGCCCAGAGGGCAGTTAAGAGTCAACCATATTGCTGTGTGTCTGGAGTCACATGGAGGCCAGACCAGGTAAGGATGGCAGTTTCCTTCGCTAAAGGACATTAATGAACCATTAATGGGTTTTTCCAACAATCAACAATAGATCCACTGTCATCATTTGGCTCCTAATTCTAGATTTTTTATTGAATTCTAATTCCACCATCTGCAGCAGTGGGATTTGAACCTGGGTCCCTAGAACATTACCTGGAACTCTAGCTTAACAATCCAGTGATAATACCCCTCCCCCTATATGTGTGTCAAATACTGCGGAGGTCAACACAAATTCAGAAGTTCCCAGCACCTTGATTGCATTGCCTAATAAATGAGTCAGTGAGAATGGATAAGGATGCCCTGAAAACCAATAAAAATAACCCCTAAAAATGAAAATGTAACCCTTGAGAAAATCTCAAGAAGAGCCCTCGCAATGAAGAAAGATATGTTGTGCTCTGTTTCTGACATTATCGGAATGACAATGCTTTAAAGGTTCATCCGTTATGAAGCACTGTGAGCTGTCCTCAGGTTGTGACTAGTGCTATCTAAATGCAAATGTTTCTTTTCTTTTGGTTGCTAATCCAAACCCTGCCCCTCCATCCACCTGTAATAAATTGCTGAAATTCTTTCATTAGAATGATCCATTTCTCCCTTGCGCTCTCTCTCTCACTCTCTGTCTCTCTCTCTTTCTCTGCCCCCTTAAAAACCAAACTCAATAATGAAGCCTTTGGGCACTTCACCTGGTATCCTCCTACAAGGGCCAGTGTCAATTTTTGTTCTATTATGTAAACTGTCGGGGAATATTTCCTCAGATTAAAGGTGCTACATAAATGCAAGGGGTTATTGTTGTCCACACGCATAAGCAGAATATCCTTGACCTAATGGAACAAAGAAAGATAGTAAATAGGAGCAGGAGTAGGGATTGTCAGCATGGATTTGTGCGCGGGAAGTCATGTCTGACAAATCTTTTAGAGTTTTTCAAAGAGGTAACCAAGAGGATAGGTTAGGGTAGGGCAATGGATGTTGGATATATGGACTTTAGTAAGGCCTTTGATGAGGTCCCACATGGCAGGCTAGTCATGAAGGTTAGGTCGCATGGGACCCAGGGAGAGCTAGCTAATTGGATTCAAAACTGACTCGATGGTAGGAAGCAGAGGGTGATGGTTGAAGGATGTTTCTCAGACTGGAGGCCTGTGACTAGTGGTGTGCCATAGGCGTCGGTGCTGGGACCTTTGTAATTTGTTATTTACATAAATTATCTGGATGTGAAAGCACAAGGCATGGTTAGTAAGTTTGCAGATGATACAAAATTAGGAGGTATTGTTGATAGCGACAAAGGTTATCATAAATTACAGCAGGATCTTGATCAGATGGAGAATTGGGCTGAGGATTGGTAAATGCAATTCAATACAGATAAGTGTGAGGTATTGTACTTTGGAAAGTCAAACCAAGGTAGGACTTATACAGTAAATGGGAAGGTCCTGAGGAGTGTTGTGGAACAGAGGGACCTGGAAATACAAGTACATACTTCATTGAAAGTAGCGTCACAAGTAGACAGGGTGGTGAAGAAGGCATTTAGCATGCTGGCCTTCATCGGTCGAGGCATTGAGTATAGGAGTTGGGACGTTATGTTACAGTTGTATGAGTCACTGGTGAGGCCGCACTTGGAGTATTGTGTACAGTTTTGGTCACCCTGCTGTAGGAAAGACATAATTAAATTGGAAAGTGTGCAAAGAAGATTTACGAGGATGTTGCCAGGACCAGTAGGCCTGAGTTATAGGGAGAGGTTGGCCAGGATAGGAATTTATTCCTTGGAATGTAGGAGAATGAGAAGTGACCGTATTGAGGTGTGTAAAATCATGAGGGGCATTGATAGGATGAATTTATATAGTCTTTTACCCAGGGATGGGGAATTGAAAACTGGAGGGTATAGGTTTAAGGTGAGGGGGCAAAGATTTAAGAAGGACCTGAGGGGCAACTTCTTCACACAGAGAGTGGTGTGTCTATGGAATGGGCTGCCAGAGAAAGTGGTTGAGGCAGGTACAATAACAACATTTTTTAAAAAAAGTTGGATAGATACATGGATGAGAAGGGTTCAGAAGGATATGGACTGAAGGCGGGCAATTGGAATGAGCTGAGTGGGCAGCATGGACCAGTTTGGGCCGAAGGGCCTGTTTCCTTGCTGTATTACACTATGCCTATGAGTAGGCCATTCAGCTCTTCAACATGCTCTGCCATTCGTTATGACATTGACTGATCATCCAATTTATCACTCTGTTCCCTGCTTTCCAATCAGAAGGCTTTTATTGAAATAAAAGTTAAAATGACTTCCTATCCCAGTAGGTTCATTTCATACAATTCCTACACTGTGGAAACAGGCTGTTTGGCCCATCAAGTCCACACTGACCCTCTGAAAAGCATCCCATCCAGACCCACCCTATCCTTGTGACCCTGCATTTCCCATAGCTAACCCACCTAGCCTGCACATCCATGGACACTACAGACAACCTGTACATCCTTGGGCTGTGGGAGGTAAACACAGCACCTGGAGGAAACCAACACAGACATGGGGAGAATATTTAAATTCCACACAGACAGCCACCCGCAACTGGAATCAAACCCAGGTCCCTGGCATCGTGAGGCAGCAGTGCTAACCACTGTGCTGCCCCATGCCTGCTATTTTTAGTTTTCAGCTCTTCTTTTAAAAACAAATTTACTGTTGGGCCATTCCAGCTTTAAAGCTTGACCAGGTTTTCAAAAGTCACAGATGTTTGACACAAGCCAGTGTAAGCAATTTGTGAATTTTTTTTATTCCATCATAGGATGGGGAGATCACTGACAAGGTCAGTATTTATTGGCCATCTCTAGCTACCCTTGGACTGAGTGGTTTACTGGACCCTTTCAGAAGGGATGGTATCATATGTAGGCCTGACCGGGTAAGGACAGCAGATTTCCTTCCCTAATGGGCACAAGTAAACAAGACACTTTTCTACACTCAATAATAGTTGTCATGGTCACTGAAGAGCTAAGTTCTTTGACAAGGTGCACTAAACAGCAGAGTTATACCTCAGCCTAATTGCTTGCCACAGGATCAGTTGTATCTTGATGCTTAAAGCCACCAAAACATGTCCTCAGTTGTCAGTCAGTGATGTTAATAGTCATGTTTGCAACTGGTATTAAGGGACATGTTGTCAGTATTCAAGGTGAAAATGTCACAGGACCAATCAGGACAACATTTGTATCAACTACACAATCTAAAGTCATTTGTAAATCTGTCTACAGTAAATTGAAGATTTTACGTCTGTGTACATTTCCTGTCAACTTTTTAACTTCTTATTCCAGATTTATTAATTGAATATTAATTCTACCAGCTCCTATGGGAGGAATTGAACCCATATCTCTAGCGCATTAGCCTTGGTTGCTTGTTATTGGTCCAGTGACATTACCTACTGGGGTATAACTCTGCTGTTTAGTGCAACTTGTTAAAGAACTTAGCCCAATACTGGGTGTTTGTCTATTTTCCAGGTTGACTGGAGAGCTATCTCCCCTTTTCAAATGTTTTTGACATAAAAAAGCAGTAGGAAACCATCTCTCCTTTTGAGTGATAATTGTATGATTCAAAATTAGCTTTTAGTGATTTCATTGAGAACATGACTGCAGTTTGAGTGCCGCACTAATACAAATTAAGGAATTGCCACTCAGAGCTAACTGCTAATGACAAATCTGCCTAATGTTGGGTTCAGCCCAATACACAAAGAAGATTAATGAATAAACAATTCATAACTATTGGTGAGGAAAGTGCTTTGAACATTCGCTCTATTATCGTTGAATCATACAGCAAAAATGAGACCACTTGGTCCATCATTGTGGTACAGGCTCCGAAACAAATATCTAATCAAGTCTCCCTTTGATTGTTCCTTCGCTGTAGCGCTGTAAGTTGTTCCCTGTTCAAGTACTTAGCAAATTCCCTGCCGGAATTACGCTGCTCAATACCAAAAACCATGAGCGATATTTAGACATCCATTACAACTTGTAGCCTTTTGCCATCATTGTCTGAAGATAATGGTGGATGGTGCTAGCTGTGACACCATTCTAATTGCTCCAGAACCTCACGCCAAGAAAGGCCATTCCAGGACACTGAGGGTAGCAGTTTCCCTATCACCCTCTGCCGCGCCTCCCCAAAATGTGCGCGAAGCCTGCCATGCATTTGTCTTTTGTGACTTTTCCCAGGGAGCCCAGAGGGAAGGCTTGCTCCCCCTGTTCAGGAAGATGGGTGAGCTTTTAAAGATGGAGGCTTATTAAACCATCCTGATCCTTCCAAAAAGGCAAGTTCCAAATGGTGTGGCAAAGAACCCTGGGATAATTACGGTCAAGAAAGAGGCAGCAGCTCATTTTGTGAGCGTGAGTCATGAAAGGCAGTACATTTGTATAGTGCCTTGTCACACCTTGCTGAAAGTGATTCAAGGGCATTGCATTGTGTTGGAATAATTATAATAATGTGCCATCTGGTACATGTGCGATGCAATCCCATGAAAAGCAATCACAGGCAATGACCCAGCTGTATTACCTCCAGGCTATTAGTCCAACGACCCAGGTAATGTTCTGGGAGCTCGTGTTCGAATCCTGCCACGGCAGATGGTGGAATTTAAATTCAATTGAAAAGAAAATCTGAAATTAAGAGTCTGGCGATGACCATGCCATTAGACAAATTGTCATGAGAAAAAGCCCATCTGCTTCACTAATGTCTTTCAGGGAAGCAATCTGCTGTCCTTACCTGGTCTGGCCGACATGTGACTCCAAGCACATGGCAGTGTGGTTCATTCTTGAGTGCCCTTTGGGCAATTAGGGATGGACAACAAATCGAGAGTGACCTTCTCATCCTATGACTGAATTTTTCAAAACATGAATGACTCATTAATCAGCACTAAGGTGGTTCTAATTGAGGGAATACTTGGCAAAACAGTTTGAAAACTCCTTTCTCTTTGAAGACTGCTGCGTGATATTTAATATCATCTGGGCCATTTGCAGAGGAAAACAGTGTGTTGGCCCCTTACCTTATGTGTAAGGCAGTCCCAATAACAGTCCATCGCTGGGCTAAGTTGCATTCATGTGTCTCTTGGAACATTGTTACAACAGGGCTCCAATTCTGAGGATAACTGAGTGGAAATGAGTATGAGAGGAATATCTTCACACGAGAATGTATATGATTTTTCTCTTTGACTGGTCATCTTGACAGACCAGTAACAAATTGTGAATTGTTCCGCGTGCTGGAACATCCTGAACTTCATGGAGCCAGGTGTCTGGGATGTGACAATCAATGCCAGGCATGTTTTGTAAAAGAATTTGCTTTATTCTTCCCTACAGGCAGCATCAGCTGTGTGGTTGTCTAATACATGCACATCATCGCCAGGGCAGCTCTGTAATGCTTTTGATGTTATCAGGACAAACTGCATCTCATGTGTCGAATAAGCTGTCATTGTACATCTTTGCATGCAAATGTTGAATCTGCAACAGCAAACCTTCACCTTGTTTGTAGTCCAGTAGTGTTTCACTTGGTCTACACTGTATTTGAAGCAGTTTATGATTTTCCACTTAATTTTGTTAAAATTCAAAGCCCTTTGAGACACTTTGAGATGGCACAGTTGTTATCAGTGCTGCCTCACAAACACTAGGGATCTGGGTTCGATTCCAGCCTTTGACTGTGTGGAGTTTGCACATTCTCCCCGTGTCTGTGTGGGTTTCCTCCAGGTGCTCTGGCTTCCTCCCACAGTCCAAAGGTGTGTGGGTTAGGTGGATTGGCCATGGGAAATTGCCCATTGTGTCCAGGGATGTGCAGGCTAGGTGGTTGAACCATGGGAAATGCAGGGTTACAAGGATGGGGTGGGGGGTTGCGTTCGGGTGATATGCTCTTCATAGGGTCAGTGTACTCTCAATGAACTGAATGGCCTCTTTCTGCACTGTAGGATTTTATGATACACTGTTGGGAGAGAGGTTGTGATGGGGAGAAGTTGTAATCTGGAGTTTGGACACGGAAAGGTTGAGGGATAAATAAGGTAGATGCTAAAAGAATGTTCCCGATGTTGGAGAAGTCCAGAACAGGGGGTCACAGTCTAAGAATAAGGGGTAAGGCCTTCAGGACTAAGATGGGGAAGAATTCCTTCACTCTGAGACTGTGAACCTGTGGAATTGTCTCCCACAGGAAGCTGTTGGGGCCAGTTCATTTGATATATTCAAGAGGAAGCTGGACGTGGCCCTTGCGGCTAAAGGGATCAAAGAGGTATGGAGAGAAAGCGGGAGAGAGATACTGAAATTACATTTTCATCCATGATCATGTTGAATGGTAGTGCAGGCTCGAAGGGCCGAAAGGCCTACTCTTGCACCTATTTTCCAAGTTTCTATGAAACTAAAGTTGAGCAGATTAAGAAGCTGGCTCCAATCCACTGAATTCCACCACAAATTGAGTGTTTTTGACTTCTTGTAGCCAGAAGTGGGTATTTCCTCTGACCATATGATAATTTCTCATTTGGAATAATGTTTCAAGAGCGGGGAGGCGATGGCTGAGTGGTTTTATCACTGGATTGTTAACCCAGTGACCCAGGTAATGTTCTGGGGAAACTGAGATAACAAAGTGTAGAGCTGGATGAACACAGCAGGCCAAGCAGCATCAGAGGAGCAGGAAGGCTGACGTTTCGGGCCTAGACCCTTCTTCAGAAAATGTTCTGGGGATTTGGGTTAAACTCCTGCTGTTGCAGATGGTTGAATTTGAATTTAATAAAAGTATGGAATTAAGAGTCTAATAATGATCATGAAAGTGGTTTTGGGGAGAAAAAACCCCTCTGGTTCACTAAAGTCCATTAGGGAAGGAAACTGCCATCCTTACCTAGTCTGGTCTACAGGTGACTCCAGACCCACAGCAAGGTGGTTCATTCTTGACTGCCCTCTGGGCAATAAATGCTGGCTTGGCCAGTAATACCCTCATCCCATGAATGAATAATAACAAAAAAGTTTTAATGGTGCATACACGTGTTTCTCACTTTCATGAATCTTGCTGTTCAAAGGAAGATGGTAAACCTAGAGGAACTGAGTGAGTTTGATTAATTTATCCCAGCAGGTACACAGAACTGACCTGTTGGTGATAAAGGCACCTGCTCGTTTTACTTTGCTATGGATTCACTTTCAACATTGAGACAATTTTCTGGTTCACACCAGGATGGCTGACCTTGGATAAGGAGAATGTAATGGAAGTTACATTCCTGCTTGAGACAGGAACAGGAGCATGGGGCAGCAGAGAAAGGAGAGTGGCATGGAGGGGAGAATGGTGAAGGGAGGGCAGAGCGGGGAGGCACGGAGGGGAGAATGGAGAAGGGAGGGCAGGGAGGACAGAGCGGGGAGGGGAAAGCGACAGAAAGAGGACAGCGGTGAAGGTAGGGCAGGGACAGGGAGGGGTTAGTGATAGAGAGGGGAGAGCGGGGAGGAGATAGTGACAGAGAGGATC